GAAAATACCCATGAAACCAGCAGGGTATGTCTTATCGGTCCTAACTTTTCCATCTACAAGTACATGTCTCTGCATCAATATTGCAATAACTTCACGGTATGTAAGGGCATACTTAAGCCAGTTCCGTAAAATGAGAATTAATGGCAAGCATTCCCTAGATTTATGGGGTCCAGAAGATGGCTTCGATGCCTGCAGACAAAGATTAATCAAACTTGATCAGAACAGTAGAGATCAAGATCAAGCAAACCAAGAGGGACCACAAGAACCAAGCTGGAACACAAGGAAAAGAATTCAAAGGAACATACAAATGCACCACCAAGCTTGTCAAGCATTCAATGTTTTGGAGCATTGAGCCTCTTCAAGTGTTTCTTCAACCCTCTAGCCTGTAATTCACTAAAAAATAAAAAAAAAATTCAATAGAAACAAAATCAAGCATCTATTCGCAGACAAGGCCAGCAACTAAAGATCTAAAAGAAAAAAAAACATCAGTTGAATAAGATTTCAAGCAACAACACTACCTAGCACTTACCATCTCAAGCCAACTAGGTAAAGAAAAAGAATAGAATGATAAAGTAGAGATTTCAAAGAACTATGAGCACTTTCGACATAGATGCATCCATAAAAACGCATACTCTGATATAAAGCAAAAATCCTATGAAATACGGACTAAAACCAATCTTTTAAAAGGAATATTGAATTTTATCAATATCAACAGCCATGATAAGCTATCACTTAATCTAGATGTTTCTTTAATGTCACAAGATTCATAACAACACTGCTAACAATGCTGATTACTGGGACTAACCAGTCCCATTCACAAGCCAAATAAAAAAAAGGGGGTTCTTCAGATACTTTCAGTACACCAAAGCACATGCAAAAGGCTTCAAGAGAAGATTTTCATACATTATTAAAAGTGGGATTTTATTTTCAGAATCTACTGCCTACAGCAAGAGGAACACAACGAGAAATTTTTATACATTTTGCAACACAGAAACAGCTGCCGGAGCAAAGCAAAGCGAAGTAGTGAAAAGAGAGACTGACCATCTTGGAGTTTTTAGCTCAAAGGAGCATTCGCCGGAGCAATTGCAATGCGGCAGTTTCCGACGAAACTAAGGTGGGGTGACTGATGTGAGGAAACCCTAATCTACCGATGTTCGGCGGTGGCGGGTGGTAATTGTGGCAGCTAATGGTTTTCAGATCCCAATATGTGCACTTGTTGGGCCGGTCCGTGAAGTGATGAATGTATTTGGATCCAAAAGCACAATCTTTGTATTCTGATATAGCCCAAGTTTGTTGGCCCAGAATTTGGAGCAACGAAAATAACTATTTTTTCCTTGGGAATGCGAGAACCGTAATACTTTTATCAATTTATTTTCACCTAATCAATGTCTAATTGTTTGTCCCCCCACGCCCACAATTACCATAGAAAAAAAAAAAAAA